CTCCTCTCAGGTGTAGTCCCCGTAAAATTCCCACCACTAGTTCACCCGTGCACCATCACCATAGTCCCTTGTGCTCTTCCCTCCCGTTAGGATCCCTCTCCTTCCCTTCCCCTGCAGAATGTCTCTGATTTATAGTTGCCTGTTAATTTCGTTTTTTAATTTATTATAATTATTTTTGTTTCTCTTATTGGAAGAATGTAGGGGAAACAAATAGTCCCATATTTTCTTCTGAGAGTTTCATACTGTCAACTGTTGATTTTACGTCTTTGAACCATTTTGAGTTAATTTTGGATATGGTAGGAGCTAAGGTTTCACTTGTTACAGAATCATTTGTTAAAAGGAAAATTCCCCATTGAATGGTGGTGTTAAACTTGTCAATAATCAGTTGGCCATAGATTTGTGGGTTTATTTTTGAATGAACTCTGTTTCACTGATCTGGATGCCTGCTTTGTGTCTGTATCACACTGCTTTGATAACTCTGGCTTTGTGGTAAGTTTTTTTTTTTTTTTTTTTTTTTTTTTTTAAGATTTATTTATTTATTTATACAAGCAATGGGAGCAGAACAGGCAGAAGGACCGAAGTACACTGCTGAGAGGAGCAGTGGGAGGCCGGAGAGGTCTGCTTGCCATGTGGGACCCTCACCCGGCAGCTGGGGATCAAACAGGTGCTGCAGAGGCTGCGGGCAGCTTCGCAACCCAGCGCTCAACCGCTGCGCCCCCGGGGAGGCCCTGTGGTAAGTTTTGAAACCAGGAAGCTAATCCTTCTTTATTCTTTTGTTGTTGTTTTTTTTAATTATAATTTTGGGTAAAGATATTGTGGAATATGTACTAAATATAATATTACACATCTATTTAAAAAGATGAAGTAGTGTCTTTGGGGGCAAAATGGATGGACTTTGAGGTGTTCCATAAGTGAAATAAGCCAGAAAGTGAAAGATGGGCTTTGGACAGCTTCACTTATCTATGGACCATAACTACCCTTCTTTCCTCTTTTTAAATATTACTTAAATTTATTATTTTTAAGCATCATTTTGGCTATTTTGACTCCTTTCTGATTCCACATGCATTTCAAGATCAACTTGTCCATTTCTAGAAAGCATTCAACTGGGATTGTGTTGAATCTGTTTGGGGGTTCTTGCTATGTCAACAATGATAAGTCTGGTTCATGAAAATTAGAAAAATTTCCATTTTATTTAGATGTTCTTAAATTCTCTCAAGAATGTTTTATATTCTTCAAAGCTTAAAATTATGCTTCTTTTGTTATTTATTCCTAAATATTTTACTTTTTGATATTATTAGAAAAGAGTTTTTCTTATATTTTCAGATTGTTCATCTTAAGTATAGAAATACAATTGTTTTTTCTATCATTGCATCAATACTTTGTATGCTCAACCTTGCTGAACTTGTTCAGTATTTCTAATAGATTAAAAAAAAAGATTTATTTTTATTTATTTATGCATACAAGAACTGGGGTGTAGGTCAGAGGTGCGGAGGGTAAGGGGATTCACCAGAGACAGAGTAGGGAGCAGAACAGGAGGATCTACTGAAATACACTGCTGAGGGGAGCAGCAGGCGAGACAGGAGAGATCTGCTGCGCCATGTGGGTCAGATTCCTGGTTGGAGTGGCTGAGACTTTAACCCCTGCACCACCAAGGAGGCTGAAATTCTAATAGTTTTTTTTTTAATGAAGTTCTTAGAATTTTCCTCAATAGAAGATAATGTTATTTATAATTAGAAGTAATTTTACTTTTTCCTTTTCCAGTTTAGATAGATATTTTTTTCTTTCTTTCTTTCTTTTTTAATAATTGTCCTGGCCAGAACCTTTATTATAGTGTTAAGCAGAAATGATGACAGTAGACCTGCTTGTATTTTTCTCCATTGAATGGGGAAAGTGTCCAGTCTTTCACCATTAAATATGTTGTTATGCGTGGGTTTTGCTTGCTTGCACTTTACTGGGTTGAGAAGTTGCCTTAGAGTCCTAGTTTGTTGAATATTTTAATAATTTTTATAATGATATATTTTATAAACATATAAAATTTCATGATATATTTTATTATGAAATAAAATATAAAATTTATAATGATATAATGATATGTGTTTCTACACAGAAGGTATATTTGCCTGCATTTTTTCTTTGTGACATCTTTGCCTGGTTTTGATATCAGGGTAATTTGTTGATTGCTAATTTAGCCTGTTTATACTTGTTCTAGGTAGGTTCAAATTCCTTATTTCTTCTTGACCAGTTTTGGTAGTTTTTGTGTCTTTTTAGAAATTTATCCATTTCATTAATTATTCATAGTGGTCCTCTATCTCTCTTTTTATTTCTGTGTTCAGTAGTAATGTCTGTATTTCATTTTTGATTCATTTTGATTCACTTTCACATCTCTAACTGGAATATTGTTAGGAAAGAGACAAAACTGTAAGTCCCAAAATTTCTGGGAATAAGTGGTTTGGGTCCTAGTATCCTTAGTCCACGTAGCTTCAGGTAAACCTAGTCTCTGAGTCTCAACTTATTTATATACTGAATGAGGACTTTGTGCTGGATGTTTGCTGTTTTCTGTCTGTTGAAGATTTGTTTCATTGTGTTGACGGACACCCCCACACCCCACCCAGCAACTCCACTCCCTGCAAAAAAGAGTGAGTGAAATGTTGGGCATTCAACACAGGAAAGGCAAATTCAAATGATTTTCTGAGATTCATTTGTGGTGATTGGGAAGAAGCAGTGCTCTTTCCATCCTGATTGCTAAGCTGGAGGAAAGAGTAACATTTTCTTCATTTATCTTCCCCCTCATATGGAGAAGCTCTATGTACAGCACAAGAGACAAGTCAGGCAGAGATGCATGGAGAGGAGAGAATTTCAAAGAGTAAGCATCTCAGAGGCACTGACCCTGAGTATGAACCTTTAGTCCTTGATTCCTACAGCTCTGCTTTAGGTGCTGCAAGGATGCTAGAATCCTCCTCAGCTACAGTATCACTCAACTCCTATTTTTGGCTTAAATTAATATATTGGGTTCTTTAGGATTTTTTTTACCACATTATTTTTTATTGCAGTAATGTTGGTTTATAACACTGTATATAATTTAGAAGTATAGGTTCATACCTCTTTAGATATTTAACAACACACCAAAGTACCTTTGTAGGAAAAGTTTCTCCCCTAATATAGAGTGTACCGGACACAGTCCAGGCCAACCTCACCTCTTCCCCCTTCTTCTGTACCCCTATTTTTCCTTGAGTCTCAGTTTCTTCATTTGCACAATGAGGACAAGCATCCTTTCACTCAAGCTGCTATGCAGATAAAGTACTTGTAGCTGCCTAATAAATGGTAGAGTACTTGTAGATGCCTAATAAATGGTAGTGTTCTAGATTCACCAGCTTTATAATTTTTCAGGGTGAGTATTGTCCAGAGTTTAGATGGCATCACCAGTAACCAAACACTAAGAAAAACTAAGGCTTTGGAGTGGAAAAAATTGATTCACCCAGTAGATATGGGATCTTTATTACCAGGCATCTCTTAGGAAACAGCTGACTTTAAGCAAATGGACTTAAGAAAACAATTGTTCCCTGATAACAGGAAGCCCAGAGGCAGAGTGGGGGCCATGGAAACATGGCTGTGCAATGCTGTGGTCTCCACTCTTTCTGCATCACCTAGAGTAGTTTTTCCAACCGATTCCTTTCATGATAGGATGTCTATCTGGAGCAATGGGCAAAAGAACTGTTTCTTCTCATCCAATAAGAAGAGAATTCACCCGCTTTCCAGATTTCTCTGCTAGCCTGTCCCTGTCTCTCATAGTCCCACATTAACTTAAGCCAGTTCCACATTTGCGTCAACCACTAGCAAGAAACCAATGTATCTGAATTAGCTTAGTGAGGCTACTCAAGTGGGTTGAATGTTAGATGTCAACCAAAATAGCCATCAGCCCTCCATTAACCTTTCTGAGGCTCAGTTTCCTCTGCTATGAATACTTAGATCACAAGTTGCTGACAGAAAGGAAGATGAAGTATATATAATACTCTCAGTGCTACTCGGCATGCCAGCTGTAAATGAACGGAAGGTATCACGACCGAGAAGCTGTCACGCACCACGGGGTAGAGGAGCCCATACTCACCAAGAACAGACACGTGGGTGCCCCGTCCTGACTGGTACTCTTTGTCAGGTTTCCCCTTCTTGAACTTCACGCAGTAGTAAATGCCCGTATCTTCAAGAGTGACTCCACTGATACTGATGGAAAAGTCTGTGCTGCCACCTTCGATGTTGCTTTTAATTTCTTTAACTCTGGGAAAGACACCTTGTTTGAAATTGTAGATTAATTCCCGGTGTGGGCCGTTTCCTTTGAACCACAGGACGGGTCCCTTTGGGAATGAATCTGGCACACTGCAGCTCAAGGTCACTGTGTCCCCGGTCGATACGGTCTGTGTTATCTCGGGTTGTTGCACCTGGGGTGTGTCATCTGTGGTTCCTGGAAAGAAATTTAAAATCATCTCCAATTTCTTCTGCTTTGGTCTATGCAGGATTAAGGAACTTGGATCCACATCAGGTTGGGACTCATTCATTAATTCTTTTAATGACAGGTATAAATACCCACACACTTAGGTTGAGGACTCTAAGTGGAGGCAGTTCCTGCCCTGAGTGCTGACAGAGGCAAGTAGTCCAGAGGACACACGCATCGCCTTGCAGTTTCATATCTCAGTCTCCAACCAAGGTAGGAGGAGGACACGGAGGAAGAGGTCTGGGATTATGAGTGAGTAGTCTTCATAGAGAGACTAGTCCCTCTACCTATCTAAATGCCACCCATACCTCTGGTGAGTTTGAGATTGGTCTCCAGCTCTCTGAAAAATGATCCACTGCTGACCGTGGGGAGAGATCAGTGCTGAGAGGTGTGGAGATGGGAAGTCAAGGAATAGTGCACCTAACGGGCCAGGTGGGCCTATGGGACCATGACAACAGGCATGGTTTCTCCACTTACCTCGCCCAGCAGGAAGAGGGGGACATTTCCTCTTTAGCAAAGTGACAGTAAAAATGTCATGGGCCCTCATCCATTTTGGAGGATCCACCACCACCCCTCAGTGCCCACTACCATCAACATTATACCCCACACTGTGTCAGGACCTGGTAGAAATCTCCCCTTTCAGGTTGGTGAACCGTCAAAGGCACAGAGGGCCTGGATGCAGATTGGGGAGAAAGAGGGGATGCTTGGCTGGCAAGGCCAGAGAGAATGGGGGGTCAAGATGCCTGTACTCATATTTCCCAGCTTGAGAGAAACTTGTGTATTTTCCATGGTCAGTTGAAGACCATAGACTATATCTGGATTTGAAGAAAACATTATGAAGGCAGAACAGTTCTCCTGGCAGAACAGAGGGACACCCCAGTCTCACTGCATTTGTGACATTTATTCAGAGTGGTGAGGAGATGGAAACACTGGCTTCATTTTGGGAGTGTTTAGATTGCTGGCAGAATTCATTTCTTTGTGCTTGTGTGACTCAGCTCCCTTAGTTTCTATGCTCTGCCCACAGTTCCTTGCCACGTGGACATCTATATAGGCAGCCCCACTGAGGCTCCTTGCTATTTTGAGACCAACAGGAGAGTGGGAATGACTCTAGGTAATGGATCTTATATAACCATAGAGTTATTCCCTGTCACCTTCTCCATTCTCTCTTGGTGAGAAGCATATCACAGATCCTGCCCATCCTCAGTGGGGATGACATATAGGGGTGGCAGCATGTAACAAAGGATTGTTGGGGTGTCACTTTTTGGGTCTTTGCACCACATTCAGCAAGAGTAGTTATAAATCTGCATTTTCTTTCATTTTTTTGAATTTCTTCATCATGTCAGTTTTGAACCTGTATCTTATTGATATCGGAATTGTCAGGCCTAGTCTCTCAGCCAGGAACAGATCCCAGGCTGCAGGGGCAGCGCTGAGTCCCAGCCACTAGACTCCCCATGGGTTGGTGTCTCACGAAGCCGAAGCCGCAGCAGGAACTTCGCAGACGTTCAGGCAAGCAAACGAGAAGAGGCAGGTTTGTTTAGAGAAAGAAAAAGTTTTTTGAGGAGAAAAAGAACAGAGATAAAGTGGGACTCCAGGCCAGAAAACCAGGCCTGGGAGGGGCAAGGAAGCCAAAGTGGAGTCGTGTCTCAGGGAATATATACCTTCTCTCCCTCATTATTCTAAAGCCCCACCAGTCTCCTTGTGATTGGTTAGTTCTCGGCTGTCTCACTTAATTTGCTACTGAGTGGGGGATCTTCACATTCCTCATCTAACAGCTTTCTCTTTCCCCATTTGTTGCATCTTTATCTTTATGGCCCAGTCCTCTGGATGGGCATCCCTGCATTGAAGTTAAACAGCTGCCCTTCTAAGTTGTCCATAAATTAAACCACTCTCCATTTCTCCAATCTCTGCCTCCCTTTACCACCTGAAAAAAAACAGGACCAGCGTTAACAATGTTGTCTTTGGTCCTGGGATGTTTGTTTTTCCTAGTGGAATGGGTTACTTTCCCTTCGTTGTCCTAATCTCTGAAGCCTCCCTAAATTCTTCAGAGGTCCCCTCCTGCACTGTCCCTAAAATTGTCTAATTCCTAGCTTGCCCTGTGTCTCATTATCTTTGCGGTTGGTTTCTGAAGATGTGTTCTCTCTGTGTGGTGAAGTGTTCCCCCGAGGCTGAAGGCGGCATTTTTTGCATTTTTCTATTTCCCCATTATTAGTTTCTTCAAGTTATTCGTTGTTCAATTGTCCTTAGGGTGCAGAGCTTCCATTTTCCCGGTAGATGGCGCTGCATGTCAGGGAGAACTACCCTGCAGTAGTCTCTTCGGGGGGGGGGGGGTGTCAGAGGGGGCTGGTGGGGTCAGGGCTAGTGAATGCTGTGTGTTTTCGGGGGTCAGGGTGCAGCTTTCTTCATAAAGATTTTGTACTTAGATTTGTACCTAAATATTTCATTTTTGGGTAATAATGTCAATGGCCACATATTTGTTTTTAGTATGCAGAAACATAATTAATTTTGCATGTTGATCTTGTATCTTGCTGCCTTGCTGAGCTCTCTCAGCTCTAGGAAGGTTTTTTTTTTTTTCTTTTTTAATAGCTCCATTGGGATTTCCTATGTAAATAATCATGTCATCTGTAGACAGTTTTATTTCTTCCATGCAAATCTATATGCCTTGCCTCCCTCCTTCCCTGCCTCTTTTTTTTCTCCTTTCTTCCTCTCTTTCTCTCTCTTCTACAACTTCCAGTACTATATTGAATAAGAGTTGTGAGACTACATCCATACCTGGTTCCTTATATCAGGAAGAAAATAGTCTTTCACCATTAACATCATGGTAGTCGTAGGGTTTCTGTAGATGTTCTTTATCAAGTTGGGCATATTCCTTGCAGTTTCTAGTTTGCAGAGAGTTTTCATCTTGTATATGTGTTGAATTTTGTCAAATGCTCTTTCAGCATCATTGATATGCTCATGCAGTTTTTGTTCTTCAGTCTATGAATGTGATGGATTATAGTGATTTTGTTATAGGACAGGGAGAGGGGCAGCCCAAACCCCGCAAACCTGCCTATTCTACATGGGTTCTGCCATCCGCCGCATCAACAGAAAACATAGGAGACTTTAAGGGGAAGGAACTTTAATAAAACTAGGAAACAATACAGGTAAGGCAAAGAGTCTAGTTTCTAAATGAAGCACCCAAAGTTACCCGTCCCCTCGTGGGTAAAAGTCCATCCAAATGGGACTGGCCCAGAGCAAGGCCCCAAAGCCTGCCACAAGTCTAAAGCATCTTCCAGTGGGGACCCACAGAAAAGGGCCAGAAACAACCAGACAAGCCCGGAAGGAAAGGAGCAAAATCAACATCAAGATAAAAGCTGCCATGGTCACCTCCCCATGGGTCTCACCCACATCTGTGTCACCCAGTCCACGACCAAAAGACAAGCGCAGTTTCTTCACGTGTCTCTAGGCTCCATGTGCCTCCTCCAGGTCTCCTTCTGGCTCCATCCTGCTTCCTTCCTCAGTCTCTTCTGCAGCTTCTCCTCTTCCTGCTCAGCTCCACCCTCCCTTGGGTGGGGCAGGGAACCTCCCCCTTTCCTGGGGACCACCCTGTTACAATTTTAGATATTGAAATGACTTTGCATACCTAGAATAAAGCTGATATTGTCATGGAATATAACTTTACACATTGTTACCTTCTACTTGCTAATACTTTGTTAAAGATTTTTGCATCTAAGGTCATGACAGATATTGGTCTGTAGTTTTTTTTTTTTTTTTTTTTTTGTGGGACCCTCGCTGGTGGCCGGGGATCGAACTGGCGCTGCAGAGGCTGTGGGCAGCCTCGCAACCCAGTGCTCAACCACTGCGCCACCAGGGGAGGCCCGGTCTGTAGTTTTTTTTAATGTGGTCTTTTAAAAGTTTTTTAAATTGAAGTAACATTGCATTATATTATATAAACTGTGCATCATTATGAATCAACATGTGTTAACTACTGAGGTTTACCACTAAAACTAATTCTATCCTTTACCATACAATGGACCCCTGATAGCCAGTTTACCTATGCCCCTTCCTGCCTTCCCTCTGATGATCACTAACTTGCTCTCATAGTCTAAAAGCTTTTTTGTTTGTTTTATTTAGTTCATTCGTTTGTTTGGCTGCTCTATCTACTACATATGAGTGAAATCATAGATGTTTGTTTTTGTCTGGATTATGTCACTAAGTTTAATGTCTTCTAGATCCATCCATATTATTGACTATGGTAGGATTTTATCTTTTAAAAAATAGTTGAGTAGTATTCCATTGTATGTATGTTTATGTACAGCCTTTATTTATCTGCTTTTGCTATCAAAGTAATAATGGCCTCCTAGAGCGGTTTTGCTGAAGCAATTGTATAAAATTGGTGTGAATTCGTCTTTAAGTGCTTGCTAAAAGTTTCCAATGGGCCTGGGTGTCAAGTCTTTTGTTCTCTCTTCAATATCAAGCCTTACTTCTCCTGCTTCCTACTCAGGTAATGGCCTTGCTTCCTTTGTCTGGCCTCCACCCCCTACCCCCATCTGCTGTGGCAATTGGGACTCAAAGTTTTACCAACATGGGCCAGTGGCCTGGGGAAGACACTGTGTACTTGTTTACCTTTTTCAGCAAGTAGAGGCAGGATGCAGTTTTCTTTGGGGAGAATGTGGGACTCGGCTTCAATCACTGGTCCGAGGAGACGGCTAGTGGCCATTTCTTGCCCGTGTTCCAATAACACTCAGACGTGTGCCAAATTTGAACAGTTGATTTTTCCTGGATAGAGGCACTGTGTATTCTTTTCTTGTTTTATCATTTCATATTTTCTGAGATATTTTTCTCCATTGATCATGTCACATTTGTGTGGTGAAAATAAATTTAAAAGACAGATCTTTTTTCCCAGGGACTGGGGCTGAGAGCTGCGATGTGTACTGCTCAGTCCTATGGCCATGGGAGAAGGGGGTCATTACCTGAACAAAAAGGTGTGGAACAGACAGGGTCACTGGGAGGTGTTGCAACCTGGGGGCCATCCTAATCTAGGTCTCTAAATCCCGCCTGTTCTGGCATAGGACCAAAAAACCCCTGTGAAGAGATTTCTAGGGAAACAAAGAAGGAAGATGCAGTGAACAGGCAGAGGGGAGTGGACACCATACACACCTGACGCCTCACTCACCTGTGAGTCCCAGAAGCAGAGACAGCAACAGGGATGGCAGGGGCAGGTGGGGCGGGGCGGCAGCGACAGGCATTGTGGGTGCCCGGGGAGCCTGCTCTGTCTTGACTTTGGTCTGGACAGGCCCGGGGCTCTGTGTTCTGAAGAGAGAGGATAGCTCCTTCCTCTGTGATGTCAGAGGAAGGGGATTGTGATGAGAGGAAAGGCCTAGGATTGTGACACTTTTTCTTTACCATTAAAAATTGGACAGGCTGATGGCTACGCTATGAAGCTGCTACTGAAAAAGTTCAGGGTTTCCATTGCCCAGCAGGGTACAGCTGCAGGCTTGTGCTCCTTCCCAGCTCTCTGTCTATCGTCACATCCAAGTACAGAGTCTGGCTTGTCCAGAGGCTCCAGAGGTGTCGTCTGGGCCAGAGTTTTCTAGAACCTTGTGATAGGCAGCTATGGTCCAGCTCCTGCGGAAACCCAACATCTGGTCCTCACTAACTGCACAATTGCAGGGAGGAGACTGAGTCCTGAGAAGCTTGTCCTCTTGACCTTTGTAAGAGACCTCTCCCTTCTACTCCAGAGGTATAAAATGAGCCCTTAAAGCGACTTATGCTGTGGACTCTTAGCTTTGCTGTGGACCCCTGTATGATACAGGAAGCTGCGTCCTTCCCCTCCCTGCAGGTGAATTGTATCTGACTCAAATTTTTTTTGAGTTTGGCAATGGTGATGATTTGTGCCTTAGACGATGGAGGCATCCAGGGAAGGTGGGAAACCATCCTCTAAGAGGAAAAGTAGCACACCTACAAATATACCTCAGAAGGTGGGACCATCTCTGGGGGATGGAGGGGCAGAAGCAGCATTCTTAGAGAGAGAAACGAGCCAGGACATTGACCTCCTCTTTTCTCACCTCCTCCTCTCTCACCTCTTCCCCTCTCACCTCCTCCTCTCTCACCTCCTCCTCTCTTACCTCCCCTCTCTCACCTCTGGTATGGGCTCTCCCCCAGCACGAAGGTAGTGACCACACTCAGGGTGACTATTTACTGTCCAAGCACCCATAGCCAGGCACTGACTGCTGTGGCTCTTTCCCCATCACTTCCTTGTGACCCCTGCCTTCTCCTTGGGGACTGGCTGAACGTGGAGGCCAGGGGAGGTGCTAGAGCAACAGGAGAATGTAGAGCAGGGCCCAAACACCCTCTGTGAGATGACAAGATGCCCATCCCCTTGTGATGTCACATCCTATCCCACTGTTCTGGAATAGTGACGGCCATGCTAGGAGGCCATCCAGGATCCCCACTGAAGACTGGACAGACAACTTCCTTCAGCCTCCATTATCTACCCCTCCACCTCTTGGAAACTTCACTCCTTACATCAAACTCTAAACTCTTCAGAGGCTGGGATTTTCAGTGCCATCATGGTCAAGAGCACCAGCTTAAGAACCAGATACAACCTAAGTTCAAATCCTTCAACCACTTCCTAGTAGCTGAGTCATCTTGAGGCTCTCACCCAGATCAGTAATATATCTTTGGCCTTGAAATCTTCATTTGTACACATCAGTTATCAAAAACCAAGCTCAAGATGTGTGTTCCACACCCTCCTTCCCCACCCCACTCTGTTCAGTATGTGGTGATGATGTGCCCATTTGGTCAAACCAACAAAGTACTAAACCCTCACTCACTCGTTTACTCATTCATTGCCTACCAGGCCCTGTTAGTGTTGCCTCCTAAATCCCACTTAAATCTATGTATCTCCACCATCCTCTCTTGTCTAAATGAAAACAAGCACTTCCTAACAAGGCTACCCTCACTTCCTTTTGCCCCCTTTCATTTCTTCCTCTTCAACCAGAGAGATCTTTTACAACATAAACCTGATCATGCCTTTCTCTTGTATAAACACTTTTGTGTATTCTCATTTATCATAGTAAGACTGCACTGTACATGGTAGTAGAAGAAATTCATCCATGGCTGACTCGGTCTCCAGAGACAAAGCAGTCCCTACCTTTCTTGGCACCCAGCACATCCTCTTCCCAGGTTGGGATCCCTGGGATGCAGACTGATGAGGATTCACAAGCAAGTCATTTTTCAGGGAGCACTTCCAAGATCTTCCCTGTGTCTATTCAGAAAGAAGAGTCTGATCTCTCGGAAGAGTCTTGGAAACTTTTCTTCCTTCCTATAAAAAGGAACCACAACCAGGATGCTTTGTAAACAATGGAAAGTTATTCTCTATAATTGTGGATGGTGAAGGTCAAGATCAGCATGGTTGGGTGAGGGGCTCTCTTCTGGGTTATACGTTTCTCATTGTATCCTCACATAGTTGAAGAGTTGGGGAGTTCTGTGGGGTTTCTTTTATAAGAGCACTAATCCCACTCATGAAGGCGCCACCCTCACTTTCTAAAGGCCCCAAAATATTGGGTATTAGGATTCTAACGTGTTAGTTTCAGGGGACACAAACATTCACACCATAGCATAACCCAATAGAACTTTATTTTTCACTGCTGTTGTTGATGAAATAGTTTCTGCTTTGGATATTGGCAACTCTTTTTGTTGGTGCCTGTGCCTCTTTGACATACTCAAATCCAAATCTCTCTCTCTCTCTCTGTGTGTGTGTATATTTTGGTATTTCCTTATTTTCTAGAGGATGCTGAATTTTTGTTGTGATTTTTAAAAAAGATTTATTTATGCATACAAGAACTGGGGTCTAGGCCAGAGGTGTGGGGGATGAGAGGATTCACCAGAGACAGAGTGGGGAGCAGAACAGGTGGATCTACTGAGATACACTGCTGAGGAGAACAGCGGGTGAAACAGGAGAAGTCTGCTGTGCAATGTGGGTCACCTCCCTGGCTGGGGACTGAACTAATGTTGCAGTGGCTGGAGAGAATTTGATAGTGCTGAGACATTAATCCCTGCACCACCAGGGAGGCCCTTTGCTGTGATTTTTTTAAATACCAAAAAGAGAGTGGTCTTTAACAAAAAGAGTTTAGAATGCAAGAGCCAGCTAATGAAATACAGGTCTTCTTCAGAAATTTAGCATCTTGGAGAAATGAATGACCTCATTGAAGTATTTATTTATTTTTTTAAAGAAAAAATATATAAATACTCTCTATGGCAGTCACTGTTCTGGCAGCTGAGATAGTCCCTTTTCTGTTAGAACTGATATTCTCTTTGAGGAAGAGACAGACATGTACAGACCGTTTTCACTCCGCAAAGACAGATCTTCATGGATTTTAGTTACCCCACTTGGAGTAGTTTAGTTAAATAACATCAGCCCTCCAACTCATGGTTCAAATTTCAGTTACCATAGTAAATTTACCAAGAGCAGTTGCATAAAGTACAAACTTGGCTGCCAGATTTCCTTGAGCCCACAAATCACTTAAGTAACTAACAGATGGTCATCCTGCTCATCTGCACATCACTTCTTTCAAAGTCTATAGTGATTGATCATTGTGACTCTCATGAGAAACAGACAGCAGAGCATGCGGTTGTGCTGTCTTTGTCTCCCAGCGATAAATCCTCTTGACATTTTACAAAAGGAATAATTGCAAAAGGGAATTGGCAGCAAAGATGAAATACAATGGAAAAAAAAATGATCATGTTGGAAGTGGAATCCAGATAGAATGGAAATGGAGTTTTAGAAGAAGTAGTATACCCGGGGAATATTGACACTGATACTATTAGGAAGATTCTAGAATACTGGGCCTGAGGAACTGAGTGAGGGAAAAGTCACCACACACATGAGCAAAGTGGTGGTGAAGAGAAGGGTAAAAATACTCCAGAGGAAGTGACACCAGCATGTACTTCAAATTAAAGGAACTTTTGCAAAGATTTCTCAACAGTGCCAAGTGCAAAGCATGACAAAATTGAAAATGAGTATGATGATTCACCAAGACACAGAAAAGAGGCCTGCTCTGTATCATAAATTATACAAGAAGGCGGCAAGCACTATTCAAATACTCTTAATAAGTTTTTACAAAGAAAACATTTTCATTCTCAAAGTCTCTGTTGCACATTACAGCATATAAAATAAATATTCATTTTAAGATTTTTTTTCATTTCCCTGTACATTTCTAGCTGACAGTAAGAGGGTTTTTAATGTTTCAAGAAAATTTTAAAGGTCACAGAATAATCATTTTCCTGTTGATTATTTAGATTGCTCTCTTGGCTTCAGTTTGCTCCAGCATGTCAGGTACTGTATTATGGTGCGAAGTGAGCAGCGCCTCTGTTCAGTGTGTCGGATGATAATAAGTGCTAAGGAAACAAATGAGTCCAGTGAAGAGGAACGGGAATGCCAGGAGACAGGAATCACTATTTTATATGGGGTGGTACAGGTGTCTTTTATCAAGTGTCGTTTGAATGAAGACTTGAAAGAAGAGAGAGAGAAAGCCAGACAGACATAGCCAGGGGAGAAGTGGGGAGTGCTATGATTTGACTTAATTTCCAAATCTTCACTGTGGTTGAAACAGGAAAGCCAGTTAGAGGTGACAGGAAGAAATGATGGTCCCGTGACAGGGGAGGGCAGGGCTGAGGCCTGGGCAGATGGTGACTGTAGTGGTGCTGTGCGGGAGCAGGGGGCCAGTGGTTCCATTTGGGGGAACTGTGCAAACTGGTTGTGAAACTGTTGGTAGCTTGCAGTTGGCCACATTGAGGGTGCTTTTACCAGGGAAATTGGAAAGCCCTACAAATAAGGTCTTCCCTTTTCTCTTTTGAGACTCAGTGTTGAAACATTTACCATCTAGTCACTGGTCACCGGCATTTTGAAGGTGGAATTGCGAAATTGTGGGCTATAAGAGAAAGAAATCAAGAATGCTTCTGGGCTTGTGGACTAACAGCATTTCTATCATGACCACCAAGTTGGGAAGGATGGCCCTCGTGGGGACAGGGGGGTAGACCCGCTGGGGCCGAGAGAGGGACGTTTAGCAAAGAGGAAGGAGAATGATTTTTTTTCTTAAAACCAAAATGGGCATTTATTTGTGTTTAAGAGGCAACAGAGATTCCTGAAAGTGCTGAGGGAGGTATGTTGCCTCCTCTTATCTCTTTGTGGGCCCTGATTCCACAAACTCATGATAGGATTTGCTCCTTCAGTTGGACATTTGAGGGTCTGTGAGGTGTTGAACACCCAAAACACACAATAACTACAGAGTTAATTTTATTTTTTTAATTTTATTTTTTGTGTGTATGTAGAAGAACTGGGGTACAGGCCAGAGGCACAGAGGGTGAGAGGATTCACCAGAGACAGAGTGGGAAGCAGAACAGATGGATCTACTGAAATCCACTGCTGAGGGGAGCAGCGGGCGAGACAGGAGAGGTCTGCTGCACCATGTGGGTCAGTTCCCTGCCTGGGAATCGAACTCAGGTTGTAGTATTGATAGAGTTGAGACTTAACCCCTAGGCTACCAGGGAGGCCCCTACCATAGAGTTTAATAAAGAGGAAAACATGGTTTCAAATTAGAATTTTCCAGTTCCATGATCATGGTTTGTTAGCGTCTATTTCTACTATAGCAAATTAAAAAAAAAAAAAAACAAACAACTCCTTTGTGACTTAGAATAATAGAAATTTCTATCAACACATGATTACATAAACGTAACATGTATCTATACAGTGGAATATTATCAGCCTTAAAAAGTAATGAGCTTCCATGTCCTATAACATGGATGAATTTTAAAAGCATTTTACTAAGTGAAATGAGCCAGATAGAAAAGGACTAATATACAATTCTAATTATAGGAAGTACTTAGAATAGGCAAATTCTTAGAGACAAGTAGTAGGATAGAGGTTACCTGGGGCTGCCGGGGAAGGCGGATAAAGAACTTACTGTCTCATCAGTACAGAGTTTCTTCCTGGGATGTAAAAAGATTCTGAAATGCATCTGTGACAGTTCGCAATACTGTGAATGTACTTGATGCCACTGAATTATAACCTAAAAAATGGTTCAATGGTGCATTTTATGTGATGTGTGTTTTGCCGCAATAAAAAATATGTGGTCAGGCAAAGTGACTACCCTGATTCATACCTTTGAGCTGGACTAAGTGGCTCAAGGCTGGGGACTTGAGGACCCTGCTCTAGAAGGTGGAGATGGAACCAGCAGGCAAGACAGCAAGAAGGGAGCCGACTTCAGCCTGTGTTTGAAAAGAACGGTGGGGTGTGCTGTTGTTGGGACCCTGGGTTGTGAGCTGCAGGGACAGGAGTAGCCCGTGGTCATCTACCTGCAGGTGCA